GTGTGAACTCTTATTTTAGTCTTAAAAGACTTATGACTCTTATTTTAGTATTTTCATAGTTATTTACTCATATCTATAGAGTTCTCCCGTATAGGAATTACAAGTGAGAATTCTAATATAAGTAGGACAATAATTTTAGTAATAATACAATAAGGAAGTAATATAATAAGAAAAGTAATAAACAAGAATATTCTATTTTCTAATACATCTATTATTCTTAATACAATATATAAAATTTGTTATATTGTTATGGAGTTTTAAACAAGTCCAGTTTAGATGGTCAATACTTTAAGTGCACTCGAATCCGAAGTGAGGTTCGACCCGCTTAATAAGTACTAGGCCAAGTTCACTCAGTTAAAGAGTAAAACCACAAACTTTAATATTTGGTTGAGTTGATTCTTTGATATTGTATCGGACTCTTATTGACTAAGAAGTCACGGGTTCGAATTGAAACTCAACGCATCCCAAATTAAAGTAATTAAAGTTTCATGTGTAAGACTCGAAGCGGCCACTCTTACACGTGAGGGATGTGTTCGAGCATAACACTTTTTTCTAGACTACAAACGCAAGCTTAAATTTTTTGTTAAGATGGTTTCTTAACATGGTATCATAGTCATATTGACCAAGAAGTCACGAGTTTCAGGTGCAAGACTCAAGCAAAAACTGTATTGAGTCTGCACATGAAGGAGCGTGATTGTTAGAATATAAAAATCTTTCTTGGGTCTGCAAACACAAACTTAAATTCTTGATTGAATTAGGTCCATCAAAAAGAATTGCATTATACGGTAATGAAGTCTATGATCCACAATTCTCTCCTAAGAAAGTGGATCTTAACTGTCTCTTTCTGGGGCAAATACATACAAGAGTTGCTATGGGGCAAGGGCCTTTACTATTTTTAGCTTTTAAGGTAGAGTTTTTATACATATAAGAATTACTCCTTCTGTCCCCAATTAGATTACAATATTCTCTCTTATTTTTGTTCCAAAAAGAATTACAAAGTGTTTACTTTTACACTAAATGAACTCTTTTACCCTCCCTCCCCTTTATCATTTTAATGTCAAAATCTCACCCACCCACCCATTCCTATACTATTTGGGGGTAATTTGGAGAAAAAAATACTCATTTGACTCTTCCTTAATTTTTTTTAAAAGGGAATATTGTAATCTAAAAGGGGACGGAGGGAGTAATATTTTAGGACCTCAATTAAGCATAAAAGGGACTCCAACAAAAAATTTTAGGGGTCCAATTAAGTGAGAAGAAAATACCGTAAGAAAAGTGATATGGACAAAAAAGACTCAGCTCCGTGATTGAATATTGCCACAATTCCCGAGGCAAAATATCAAACTTTTTCAATTCATTTTATTTACATATTGGTATAAAAATAAAAAAAAATACATATCAAAAAACTACATGAAAAGTTCTTCGAAATAAGAGATGTCAAGAATATTTTATTTTATCAAATAACTAGTAAAAACGTAGAAATAAAAAAAGTTCTCGCGAGTGCTGAAAAAAGCAAGTGGAAAATATTTTGGGGCGGTGGGAGTAGTAAAAAAAAATGAATGTAAGCATTTAGTTAGTTTTTTGTATGTAATAGTGCAATAAAAATAGTTTAAGAGTGGTTGTGTTGGTGGTGCAGCTTGGTGGTACAAACCAGAGTACAGAATCAATGAGCTGAACATCAATTCCGTCATTACGACGCCGTCTCATGAAGAGATCTTGCCCATCAATGCTTGGACCACCCAATTCCCTTTCACGCTTAGAGGCTACGCCTATTCTGGTACATATATGTATTCTACCTCTCTCTTAAAATATTTCAATTTTTTAATCTTACCCATCCAATAAAATATTTTGAAATTTCCAAAATGGACTAAAGTACCCCTTTTTAACCCTATTTTTTTTGTATCGCATCCGTCACACCTCATCATACTCTTTGTTTTTTAATTAATTTTCACATTATTCTTAACTATTCATTGATGTGAAACATTATTTTCAAAAAAAACCCTAAGATCACTTGTGGAAGGTCAAACATCAAAATAGATCTCCATCAAATCACTAAAAAGTCAAAACGAGAAAACTTTTACAGAACAGAGGAAGTACGTCTAAAAGAGTAGAAAATAGGATTAAACTAAGGGTACACCGACATGGGGTACCCCATTTGTACAGCAAACTAACAAAGATACAAGATGTCTGTGCAAGCACAGACATTATGTGTCATTGTGTGTCTGTATTACTTTGGTGTACAAATAAGGTATCCCATGTTCCACAGCTTCGACAGATCACTTAGCCCCGTGCATCTTCGGCGCAAGAGCGCTCGGTGTACCCCTAGCATTGCCCTAAGAAATAACGTGAATGACTGAATTCTTTATTGGCATGAAATGTTGCAGGAGGTGGGAAGAAAGTGACGCGAGTGGAAGTGACAATGGACGAAGGGGAGACATGGATGGTGTGCGACCTCGACCGTCCTGAGAAGCCAAACAAGTACGGCAAATACTGGTGCTGGTGCTTTTGGTCTCTCCAGGTCGAGGTCCTCCCCTTGTTGGGTGCCAAACAAATTGCGGTTCGGGCTTGGGATGAGACTCATAATACCCAACCCGAAAAGCTCATTTGGAATCTCATGGTAATTTATTTATTTACTATACGAAATTGACAGAATTAGAATTGAATTGAAAATTAAAATTCTATAAAATTAATTTATTTTAAATTAAATTTTCATATTCCAACTCATTCTTCTACTACCAAACAGCAGAATTGAATTTCATGTACTAAAAGGAGGTTCAAATTTTAACAAATTGTGCATGTATGTCTGGTATTGTTGATTCCTATATTTGATTCCAATGTGAATTTCAATTGTAAAATATAGGGAATGATGAACAATTGTTGGTTCCGGGTGAAGACCAACATTTGCAAAGCACGCAAAGGAGAGATTGGGATAGTGTTTGAGCACCCGACGCAGCCCGGAAACCAACCGGGCGGATGGATGTCCAAGCAAATGCACCTTGAGAGTTCTTCGGATGCCACACCCACTCTCAAGAAGAACGTGTCGTCGCCCTTCTTCAACAACACCGCCGCCGCTAAGACCTTCTCCATGTCCGAGGTGAAGAAGCACAACACCACGCACTCCGCTTGGGTGGTCGTCCACGGCCACGTCTACGACTGCACTCGCTTCTTGAACGAGCACCCAGGCGGCTCGGATAGCATCCTTATCAACGCTGGCACCGACTGCACGGAGGAGTTTGACTCCATCCACTCCGATAAGGCGAGGAGGCTCTTGGAAGACTATAGGGTCGGGGAGGTCGTGGTCACCACTTCGGGAGGCTACACTTCCGATTCCTCCTCGTCTACTCTCTCTTCTGCAAACGACTCCGTCCACGGCCCCAACAATTTAGCACCGATAAGAGAAATGGGTGCAATGGGACTGACGGGCAATGCAGAGGCAGCGCTCGTCGTCCCACACGAGAAAATCTTGTGCAAGCTCGTGTACAAGGAATCCATCTCCCACGACGTGAGGCTATTCAGGTTCGCTCTCCCCCGAGATGACCAAGTCCTTGGCTTACCCGTTGGAAAGCACATTTTCTTGTGCGCCATTGTAGACGGGAAACTCTGCATGCGGGCATACACCCCCATCAGCACCCCTGACCAGGTCGGATACTTTGACCTGGTCGTGAGGATTTACTTCAAAGAAATCCACCCTAGATTTCCAAACGGGGGCCAAATGTCCCAACACCTAGAGTCACTCCAACTGGGCTCTTGTCTACACGTCAAGGGCCCAGTAGGGCACATTGAGTACAAAGGGAGGGGAAATTTTCTTGTCCACGGTAAGTCCAAGTTTGGGACGAAGCTCTCCATGATCGCCGGAGGGACGGGGATTACTCCGATCTACCAAGTCATGCAGGCAATCTTGAGGGACCCGGGGGACAAAACGGAGATGCACGTGGTCTACGCTAACCGGACGGAATCGGATATTGTATTGAGGGACGAGCTAGATGCATGGGCGGAGAAATATCCGGGCAGGGTCAAAGTGTGGTACGTTGTTCAAGAGTCGCGGGAAGGATGGAAATACAGCACCGGGTATATCAACGACGACATCCTGAGAGGGCATATTCCGGGGGCATCTGCCACCACGCTGGCGTTGGCATGCGGGCCGCCGCCGATGATTCAGTTTGCCGTTTGTCCTAACTTGGAGAAGATGGGGTATGACATCGAGGGTTCTCTACTGCTGTTTTAGCTCGTTTAATCTCTACTCGTATTTTTCTGTGTTTTTTTTTGGTATATAAATGTGTATTGTACATGGGTACTACAACGCCACAGCTGGTATATAGTTGCTCTGTTTTACTCGTACATTTTAAAATTCGCTCCAATCTAAAAGTTTTTTTTTTAATTCTTTGAATGATCCTTAATACGGAGTACAATACTTTGACTTTTTTTGTCAAACCATTCATCCTATTGTGGTGTACCCTCACAAGAGATCTTCAAAAGAATCTCATTTTAAGTGAAATAAAATATTTTTACATGTTAGTGAATTCTATTCCATTATCACCAAACACAAATTTAAGTGTTATTAAATTACATTTATATCATAGAAAAGGAACCTTTCAAAATGTGTCACACTAGTATCATTTAGGGCACTTCAGCTTATTTTATTTGGTTTGCATATTTTTCCTTAGTAGTGAAACATTTACTTTTGTATTCATAGAGCTTCAGTTTTAATTAAATATTTCTCAATGCTTTAATAAATTTTAAGGCATTTGCTTTTGTATTTGATAGAGCTTCAGTTTTTTCTTTTTTCCTTCTTTTTTTTTTGCACCCCGGCCCTAAAAAATATTAGGAACAGGCATGTTTTACTCTACCTAGTGGCTGCTATATACACAATCACATAGATGCAACAAAACATTGGAAGCCACTTCAGGCCGGGCGGCCCAAACAGGACGGTCGGGTCATGATTGGCATGGCTATCCACAAGAAAACTTAAAGCAGAAAAAAAGGGCCAAGAGGTTGACATTCACCAGCATCATCCTTCATTATACACTGGTAAAAAGTTGGACTATATTATGGCACCTGCACACTCTTGAGCTATATATAAACACAAAAGAATGAGAAGAAAACATATATGTAAGATGTATACACACACATGCGGAAATGCGTGCGTATATGTCCATATGTATGTATGTATATATATTATATATACACGTCTGACCAACTTATGGAACTGATCAGTCAACCCATATTCCAACTTGCTTATTTCCATTTGGATCGCCATTTTGCGTCTTGTCTGCATCTGAACCAGCAAAACCATCATCCTGTTCCAAACACAAAACGACCTTTGTAACATACATACAGAAGGAAAGCAAAACAACCAATCAACAAATGCTTTGCATTCACCTATAGAGCTAGGCAGGGTACCACAACAAAGCCTTGTCCCACTAGATGGGGTCGGAGTATAAAAAGGGTAAAATCGTAAAAAGGGGTTTCATAGACTAAGAAAATGTCATAAGCAAAAGGAAAAACAGCAAGCACTTACTTCCATGGGTATGTCAACAGGAAAAAGATTTATGCTACTCGGGGAAAAATCCAAACCACTGCAGCCAACATCAACCCAAAGCGAAAAGAAAAGAACGCATGGTTTATTATATCAATTAAAGGAACATATTAAACAACATTTATATTGAATGATAGAACAAAAAGGAATCCTTTTGGAAACTATCGAGGTGTTTAATGGTGCAGTTAATTTTGTACATCAACGGTACCTCTGAGATAGAACCAACTGCCACACATATGGTATGAAGAACTCCTCTGGATGACTCTCTTGTTCATAGGTAAAACGCATTTGCGTAAACATCTGTCCAAATTAAATAATCTTCTCGATAAGAAACATGGTAAAGATATTTCAAATTGGAGACTATTATATACTCCCTCCATCACCCTAAGATCCTCTCGTTTTGACTTTTGTGGTTTTTAAGGAGTGTTAAAAAGGTGAAAGTTTACCAAAATACCCTTAATAAAAATCGGTGGAGTGTATTAAATGAGGTGGGTGAGGTGTAATAAATAAAGTGGGGTAATTGTGGTATTTCAAATGTTAAAAAAGGTAATGAGAATATCTATGGGGGACAAAAAAAGGGCTAATGGGAAGATCTATTGGGGACGGAGGGAGTATATGATACAAACATCTGCTGTTACCTTCATGCCTTCACCTCTCCAAGACCTGCAATTTACAATAATGATTTGGAGTACCTTCTCCACTGACCATTCACCATCCATATTTTGTGCATCCATGCGGCTGTTAAAGAAGTCCAAGACCTACACAACATTTGGAAGAAGATTGAAAGATGACAGCTGTCTAATGAATGGTGACAAAATAAACTCAACTATGTTATGCCAATATGCCATATGTACTGGCACCACCATGCTCTCTTTCATACCATAAATTCTCTCCATTTTTTGTTCCTAGTTTCAACTATTTCTAGCAAGTTTTCCACGTAAAAGACAATTTAATAAATCATGGGTTAAATGACTAAATAGTAAATAATAAATGACCTCTGATTGCTATGTTCTATTGATAGAATGATTACTACCCCTAATCATTTCTCCATTTGTCCCCCTAATCAGTTCTCACTTCTCAGTTTGTCCCCCTAATCAGTTCTCTATTTGTCCCCCCTCTGTGTAACCAGTACCTTGTCTTGTTTCAGATAAAAAGCTATTTAATGTAGTCCGCTTTTATCTCCCAACAGGTTCATCTTAAGATACCAATCTCAGCGGCCATCATTCAGAACCATAATCCCACACTCAGTCAAAATATACCTTAGACATCACAAGAATAGCAGTCGGATAGATGCATACCGTAAAGAGGTTATCAAGCAGCTCATTAAAACGTGGATGACTCTTAAAAGGAAGGAAAACCTCCTGCCTATGCAAAATTGCATAAACAACCTGCTAGGTGCAAAAGGAAACACGGATAATTGGGGTTGGGACAAGGGAAACATACTTGATATGTATAAAGTCAAATCAGACAATACACAGATAAAACATGAAACAAAATCTATGTACCTCAGGGTTTCGAGGTAGCGCATATGTTAAGATTGCATTCAGTATTTCCAGAACAATCCTGAGGAAGTCTGTGTATATATGTAGCTCAGCTGACTGCAACAATGGAATCCACACTATATGAACTAAATAAGCTAACAAGAGGATGAACATGATTTCATCAATTGCTAATCAAGGTGGAAGTGTGGCATACACTGTCTTCTGGTAGATTTTCTTCCAACGATTCACTATTGGAAAGACTCATCCTATCATTTTTCATCTCAGCTAATTTATTATATCTATTTTGCAATAATATCAAACAAGATTTAGCAAACACTTCAGCAGCAGTTGAAAATCAATCAGATACACAGCGATAGGATACATACTTGCGTGAAAGGATATCAAAAAGGCTAACCAATCGCTGTGATGCATAGGCACTAAGGCGATGGGCATGTGGTGCCATATTTGCCAATGCTGCCAGACAATTTGTATGGAGATAAATATCCTGCTTTAATCAAATACAAATTAGAATACCATGGTTGGAATAAGTCTTTTGCAATATGCTTCATGGATTCATTTCTCACAACATAAAAGTGCAGCACCAACTCTTGGCTAATATGAGAAAAAACACAAGAAATTGTAGGGTCTCAAAGGTGGGTATACACAGTAAAGTCCAATAAAGTGGGGTCTCAAAGGTGGGTATACAAATTTGAGACTTAAACAGAGTGGGAAAGGTATATAAAGTCATTGACAGGTCAAAGAATCACTGGAATCAAGTGAAATAAAATGTGATGCCATGTTTATGCTGGTTTTAAGTTGTGATACAATGTGTACATATATGTTGAAAGACTAATAATTAATCTGCAGTATTGATTGTTAGTGTCCAATTGTTAATTGCTAATATTTATATGCATTCCTCCTATTGCATATATACGATCTCAACTTTTTTTAAAAGACCTTCAATTATTAACCTTAGACAATTAGTTCCGGCTCCTTTTTGGAAGCCTAAATAGGCAACAACCTAAGCTACTTATAGAGAGGCCTTCTAGAGACTAAAGTTCTGGTTAAGGATGGAACGGAGTCACAAGGAAAATGGGTAAAGGTGACAGCATCAATATTTGGAAAGAAAGATGGCTACCAGATAGAAAGAATCATTTTCTTGAAACTTGTCCGCAGACCATTAACTGTCACTGAAAAGTGCACTATCTGTTTAATGGGGATAAATGGAATACCAACGGGATAAGCAGAAACGGTATACACAAATGGAGATGGGATGATAGTGGGATTTACACATTCAAAAGTTCAAACAAACCCCCCCGATGGGACAAAAGATTCAACCATGATATAGAAGAGACTGTTTCTAAAAAGACCCCTGGGTGACTGGCTCGAAAGTAGAGACTGTGTCCAAAGAGACCCCCGGCTCAGTGTCGAAAGTTGCATGGATTGACTAACTGCTACTTCATTGATTAAAGAAGCGCAAACAGTTTTGAGATCCACTTTGCTTGATTCCATCACCCAAAGACAAAAAACAATGAATTTTTGGCTCCATCGGAGATGATTGAAATTAATGGAAGAAAGTGCATGTTAGAATAGTTGGGGATTCAACACCCACCCAAGACTAAGAATTTTATATGGAGGACCACTGTTGATGCTCTGTCATGTTTGGACCTTCTGCAGAGAAAAAGAATCGCCATCAATAACTCATGTCTTCTTTGCCACAGCTGGGAGGAGATTAGAAGCTACGTATTCATCCAATGTCCTTATATGCCAAGCAAATTTGAATCCTTTCTCCTATGGCACCATACAACCACATAGTAACTATTTTAATTCTATTTCTAAACTTTCCAGGTTGCTGAATGGGAAGGCGTTGGATCTAGACCTTGACCATCTGTTGGTCAATATGGAATGTCAGAAACAACAAAGTCTGGAAAAGCAAGCTTGACTCTCCAGGAAGAACTGTGGAGGTGGCAAATAATGCTGCTGAGGAATGGAGAACATGCATCAATAGACTAACCGAGATCCACAGGAACAGCTACCAGGAGTTGATCAAGCCTCCAACAAGCTGGACCACGCTAAATGCTTATGCAGCTGTTTGGACTAACAATAAAACAAGTACTGATGGAGGGCCTTTGTTGAACACATGGATTAATGTACCCCTCCTGATTTCTATAAACTCTTTGTGGTTTTATTAATATGAACCACCTTTATTTTAAAAAAAAAAACCTAGACAATTTCTATTTTCAGACTAACGAGATACAAAAAACAATCCCATCAAGTCATCAACCTATGGAGTTAATCAGACACCAAGAAAATAAATGAAGACCCAATAGCCATGATGTGTACAACTGGAGGGCTGATTTGTCATATTTCCCTTTAATTGAAGAACTGAATTACCACTTTCTAGTAAATAAATATAATGGTGGAAACAGGACCAATGAAACAATAAAACAGCTTCTTTATATCATACCCGCAATTTAGACAGGTTATAGTTGATAATTCTCGTCAGAATTATAACCATGAGAGAGCCTAAAGATGTTTGATGAAGGGCACGCTCTTTGTACCATGGGACACTGTGAAGCATCTGCATAAAAAAGCACTTGATCTATACAGAATTCTATTAAGTAATTACATAGAATATGAGAGTTCAATTACCAGTTTGTGTATGCTAGCATTGAAAGAGGAATCTTGACTGAGTATAAGAAGGACGATTAGGACCATGTAAATTTGGTTGGGAGCCCTTCTTGGAGCATTATAAAGTGTTTCCAGCAAAGGAACCAACTATTAATTCATGAGAAAGACAGAAACCATTAGTTTTTGTACAAAAAAAATGCTTAGCAACTAGGAACAGGGTAGGCAATATAGGAAGCATCCACTTCACTTCTTATATAAAAAGAAAAGGAATCAATATGGCAACATGGTAAAATATTTAATTTCATTCATACCAGAGTATCAAGATCTGTCCTGACCAGAACATATTCTAGAAAATCAGAATTCCCATGGACAAGTGAGTAAAGAAGGAGAACAGAAGTCTCATCAGCCAGGCACCTGAGAGTAAAGTATCCATGAGACTACTGCTAAAAAAACGCCCAGAATTACCATGGACAAGTGATTTCAGTTGACTTACATCCCAAGGGTATCAAAAAGAGAAGCAAAAGGCAGTCTCACAATAGGACCATTTTGTGCAGCCCCTTCAACATCAAGACTATCAACTGCAATTTTTTATAACCTCAGAAACATAGAGTATTTTACAGCAACAACTCAGATTAAAACAACAATGATTTCAGAACGTGACCCTACATTCAGTCTCCCGAGCATTTTGTAAGGCTGTACAGTATGGATTTTCAATAAAACGTGTTTCTTTCTTAAGGAGAGGATCTGAAACAGTGTGGCCACTTTCATCTTGTGAACTGTCTATGCTGACACACTTGCGGTAATGAATAAGGATAAGCAAAATATTGAGACTGCTCTCTGCCAATGAACTTTTAGAAGCTTCAGCACTAGAGTTGGAAAAGTAATTTAATGGCAATAGCACAAGGTTTGCTGCAAGCCAACAAAAATAGGACAAGTATTGATGAAAGTGAATATAGCCAATATAACTATACAAATTAATAAAGTTAACAGAAATTGTCGATAGAGGGCACTAGAGGAGCGCTTTTATGATTGGAAGACAGATAATTCCAAATACTAGAGTACAAGTCTACTGCCTGATGCTAACAAAACACACAAATGAGTCTTGAAAATAAGAGCACACATCATACATTTGTATATTGATATATTCAAGTAAAAAACAACAATTTAAGTGCTGTAATCGTCACATGCTCAGTAGAAGCTGGAGGTAACATGCTTAGCATTCGGGGGAAATAAGACACCATAGAGAAATTAAATCAATCCATTGAATTATGGTATGCTAAAAGTGAATCCTAATTTTAGGATGACTGACGCTTTGAATTCAGTTCATATAATGTCTACAACATTTGATTTTGGAGAGCCACGTTCTACTGAAATGAACTAAGACCGCTTCCTTAATCCTTACTAGATTACACTCTGTAAGGCAACCCGATCCAGTCCTTGGTAAAACTATTTATTCGATCATAGATACTTTTGCAATATCTCTACTAACAAAGACACAGCATTAGGTTTCCACAGTTATGGTTCTTTTCTGTCAACATTTAATTAAATTCAAAGAAAGATTTTGAAAAAGCTTTTATTGAAAGTAAATCCCCTGCCAATTGAAAAAGTAAATACTTAGGAGAATAAATACTATATCATGTTAAATGATATAACCACAAACTCTGAACAAGAGAGATGTGCAGGTAGAGGGTGGAAGGGGCAAAAAAGACAAACACTACAGTGGGGGTGGTGATGATATTAACCTACCAGCAGCAGAGCCAACTCTCTGTAAAACACCAGGCTGATTCCCTTCAGCAAATATCTGATAAGGCGAGTACCTTGCATGGACGCGTGGTCGTGTTATGTAATTAAGTAGCAGTTTTTGAACAACCATATTCACCAAAGAACTTTGCTGCATACAAATAGCAACTAGCAAGTTAACAGTGAAAATGTTTCTAGTTTTAAATCATAGTCCACATGAAAATTTTATAAACTCAAATTACCTGTGCCATTGCAGCATCAATGAAAGGATGCATATCATTAGGGCCTGGTGATGGCCCTGAAAGGAGTTGAGTTGACATGGCGATGAGCATGAAATTAAGCAGTTCATAGTGCAGAAGAAATGAGTCCATACTTGCAACATGAATGCACTTGTCAGAAAAAGAACTATAATCAAGTAATACACAATTAAAACATTGAAGAATCCATGAAATACCTAACATCTGCATTTCCAAGAAAGCTAAAGATACTATTCACAGTGAGGTGCTCGATCCTCTCATCTGCAACGAGATACTTTGAAATGAGCCTATACAGTTTAAAGGTCTTATAAGATACATATCTTGATATCGGTATGTGACTCGCTAATTCCCAATCTACTACTGAAAGGTTTTAAGGATATTTTTGAATTATTTCTACAAGTTCTAGAGATTGTTTTTATAGGTAAGAGTATAAGAAATTATACTACCAAACAAAACCTAAAAGTATACACTTAAAATCTACAATTGTTGTAAAAATCCTCACCTAGCACTTATTCATTACCACCTAGGCACAAGACTATTAGTGACTTAGAAAATCTAGGCCCTTCCTCCATTGCATATTTTCACTTATTTCCCACCTAACAGGCTAACATCAATCAATCTCGATAGTAGGTCCTGGTCAGCTGTCAGCCTTACGCTTTTTAGAACTGTGTATTCAACTCATAAAGTAGGTTAACTATATCATGATGATGCAGAATGCCAACAATTAAATTGTGTAGAATGAGCATTACACCTGGGGAGAGATTATGTGGCATCTCCTTGCTTTCATTTAGAGATATGTACAACTCTTCAAAGTTATCAGAACTGGTATTCTCAATCAAATATTTCATAAAAATAGATGAGATGTACGCTGCATTGAGGGCTTTCATGAAAGACAAAGATTGTACATCCGATGCAGAAACACACTCCTGCAAACACCAACTTAGATGAACTAGACACTTAGCGAGGTGCCTTGTGTTGCAGTTGTTCTTTGCTGTAGGAAAAAACAGGGATTCAGAAGAACAAGTCAGTGTGTTCTAACCTGTTTTATTTATTTATTTATTGTGATTTATACACAACTACTTTATACAATGTAGTACAGCTCTGTTCCAAAAACGAGTCATGGTTGGTCAAGTAGTACAACTTTTAATTTTTTGTAAGGTACAAGATCTATGAATCATAAACTAATACTACGTATTTTCTAATTTATTTGTTCATTTTACTAAATTTATACTTGTTTGTAATTCTTTTTTTTTTGGGAAAATACATCAAAAGTTAGATTCCTTTGATCATATGTGACTCTTTATCCAAGACAAAAAATGTGTTTGAAACAGAAATTGTTTTTAGGGATGGAGGGATTATTATCCTGAAATATCTAATAAGATCTTCAATTCCATATGTGGAGATAAAATGAAAGAGTGCAATACTATCTGTTATGAGTGGCTCAAAGTCAGAGACTGTTGGATTTATCCTAATTTTACATACACAATAAGTGATATGGCTTATGATATGAAATTTCATTAATTCCAGGGGACTGACTTACGAACATGTACAGAACAACAGCTGCAATTTTAAAGTGGCAGCAACTGTCCTATATGAATATGATCTTCAGTTTTCATTTAGTTGGAATGATGATGTAATATTGTAAACCAGAATAATAGACCTCCAAAATTTGCAGGCAATAAGGCTAGTCTACCTTGATGCACATGCAAGATTGGACCAGCTACTTTATTGCTAATACTTGATTTCATACATTCACGGTGTACAAGTCGAATCTATCATGGTTACTCAAGAATTTAGTTCAAGATATAAACAATCTCTTCATCTCTTGAGATTTCAGTAAGACGGCATACTCATGCCAAACCCCGTATATGCACCCTCACCTGTCCCAGTTCCATCTAGTTGATCAACAATTGAAATATCATCTTAACATGTCATTTTATCATAGAAGATCACACGGAATATTCTACAGTGTTTAAATTTACCAACATATACTTTCAGAAATATTTCAAAAATCCCTAGCTCTTAAAAAGTAAGCATGAAATCCAGAGTAATTACAAACTCGGAACAGGAGAATAAATCATGAAATAATCAACGGGAGATACAGTAAACGAGATCAGGACAGGATGATTGCAGTAAATGGTGTTACCGAAGAGGCGGCAAGCTTCGTGAACGCGGTCAGGGGCCCAACGGAGGTAGAGAGGGTGCAGAAGAAGCTTCTCCCAGTAATCCGAGGTGAGTGCAAAGGATTTGTCTCCAACAAAAGCTCCAATCAGAGACTCCGCTGTCTCCTGCCGCGCATCGCCAGTGAACCGCGGCGTTGATGGCACAGCTCCCATCCCCGCTGCTATATACGCCTACGACGAGCAAGAGAAAACGGTATCACTTTCTACAAAATGAAATGCAATGTATGCCTCATACGAGTGCAGTTTCAGGTTTGAATAACATTTCAGCGAAGACTTGCAGGAGATATGGATCTGAGTAGCAGAGACAGACCGTGGAAATCAAGGTTTTAGCGGTGTACTCTTTGCTCTAGTGAAATCGTTTTACTTTCTTTTTTTTCTTTTTTTAGGAAACCTTTTACTTACTCTTTTAAAATAACTTTTTTTTTGTAAATCTTTTAATATAATTTTATTTAAAAATTATTATAGAAATTAAAATTACAAATTATATATTTCAAAACTATATTAAAATAATTTTATAAAACAAGATGTGGCAAAAATATTTTATTTTATCAAATTATCAATGAAAACACACAAACAAACAAAAGTTATTAAATTGTTACAATAGGGCTTTTTTACATGTAAGGTACCCAAACTTTTCGTCTTGTAACAGATATGTACCTTATCTTCAACTTGTAACAAAAAAAGTATCACATCTTTAAAAAGTGTAACAAAAGGGCCTTGCCGAAATTTTAGGAATCCGGCCGGTGAGTACACATTCAGTGTTCTACTTGTCTTTCTTGTGTACATGTGACATTCCATATGGCTTCCAAATTAACTTACAATCTATCCAATACTTGATTAATTTTGTATTTGACAAATAGGTCAATTTTTTAAAAAAAATTAAAATTTTATTTTATTTATACAATATCATATTTTTCTTGTAATGATGAAAGTATATTATACGGAGTATATTTTAATTTTATTTTTAACTCATTCTTTCTATATTATTTTTTATTTTAATTTTTGCATTTTGAAATATTTATAATTTACAAGATACTTCGTATTTAAACATAAGTAGGAATAACATTTTAATAACTATCTGTAATATATTTTTAAAGATTTATTAGAAAGTTTTTAAAATTTAAAATTTAATAATACATATTATTATTATTATTACTATCATCATCATTATTATCAAGTATTATTGATATGTGTTATGAAATTTTATATGTTATCTATGTATTTTTTGAAGAGATGTTCATGCAACATTGTCTTTATTTATATATTTAAATTCTACCTTCAAAAGATTGTAAATATTTTAAAAAAAAGTAAATAAGAAACTCTGCCTTTAAACTATAATAAAGACAATTATTTAAAAAGTAATCACTACTTTGGTTTAAAATATTTTGTAAATATTAAAAAATGATATTGTATAAATAACATTTAATTTTTAAAAAATTAAAACTTGATTTTATATGTGTCAAGTACAAAGTTAATCACGTATAAGAGAAGTTATAAGTTAATTTGGAAATCACATGGAATGTCAAATGTACACTAGGAAGCTAAGTGGAACGTCACATGCATGTGCACTCACCGGCCCATTACGGTCAGGGGCATCCTTTTGTTACACTTATTATTAAAGATGGGGTGCCTTTTTGTTACAAATTGAAGATAAGATATCTTTTTGTTACAAGACCCAAAGTTGGGGTACCTCTTAAGCAAAAAAATTGTTACAATAGTAACTAGGATAATATTTCTGAGATGGAGGAAATACTCTTTGCATTCTATACTGTCTGGTCATTAAATAAATGAATATAGATATAAAATTATGTTTACATTAATTTATTTTTCAATGCAAGCAAAAAATTACAATGGTTAGTAAATATAGAATCGAGGTGTCACCTACTTTGACCGTTTTTTGTGAGATTTATTCCCTTGAATACTCTTGTGTATAAGACGCTAACACGCACACACAAGGAGAAATAGAATGTGTAAAGTAGTAAAGAACATCACAATCTATACTCGTTCGGCCTAATGCCTACATCCAGTCCCCAACCAAACTTAACGATGCTTTTGTAAACCTTAAAACTCTAGAACTTGAGTCACATTAGCCTCTTAACCTATCACTTACTGTAACACCCCGAAACATACCCTAGAATTATTAATGGATAATTATTCGAATTAATCAAATTTTTTTTGATTAAAATAAATTATTATTGGGCTTTGGGGCGAAGTAAAGTATGTATTGATATCCAATAACCATAATTGGGATAAATCTCATAAAGATAAATCCAACATGATTGACTTATTGTGTGATCTTGATTGGGAACCTGAGTACAAACCCAAATTAAGAATAAATGAATAATGTGTTTATGATGTGAACTTGAAATGATAAATCATGACAATAAATAAATGAATTAAATAAAAGAATCCTTTTTGAAGTAAAGGTAAATAAAACCAATTTTGACTCTATCAAAGTCAACCACCCAAAAATATGATGTCAGAAAAAGTATTACAAATAATTATAAAAATTATATCATTGGGCAGAGTTTGACTGTCTGACCGCAATGGTACAAACGGATTTCAATTCGGAGAAAGTTGGACCAAAAAGTGTACCCCGACTGGACTGAAATTAGCCCCAATCAGGGACATGCATTTGGAATTGTGAATATCGCAGCCCTTCCCACTGAGACGCCAAAACACGAACGGATACATCACCAAGCTCTGCAGCTTCTCCTTCCTTCTCCTATATAAACATCAGTAACACCTTCAATTTTTCACCAAAACATCTTGTTCTTTCTTCCATTTTGTTCTTTGTTGAGAGAGGAGTGCATTGGTGATGTCAGCTTGGTGAGAGGTCGCCAGAGTTGGGAGTTATCGTCGCTGGAAGTTTCGCCGGAAAAATTCTAAAACCTCCATTAAGCTTCGAGGTAAGCCCGTAGATATATCTAGTGACTAGAATGTTCGTATAGATCGTTTCTACGTTCATAAACGGTCGATTTTTCCACAATTTATATATATATATATATATATATATATATATATATATATATATATATATATATATATATATATATATATAAATAGATTATTTTATATTAAATCAACTTCAATTCGAGTTACTGCTTCGAAAAAAAATATTTCTGCTCTAAAATCCTACTTTTGATACCAACTAATTATAGACAATATAAATATGATTTTGTACAATAAAATGATGTTTTGACATATAAAAACATAATGTGATGCATGACGATAAGTTCGGGTGTTAACACTCGATACTAGACCACTATTTGTTATTAGATTTTATGATTGTTTGACTATTGATTATGATAATTAATTATGTTGAATACTCTGAATGACGATCATGAATTGTTAAGTTGAGAATAATGAATCAATAAATCATACTATTAAGGCTACTTAGAAGACCTCTAAGATAGACCTCTGATTAGAATGGGCCTTGCGAGTATAAAACGTATATTCGGTGGCCTTGGGTAAAAACGTACGTACGGG